GATCTTGAGAACATGCAGAATTACTCTCAAACCCTAAACTTAGATATAATTTTTTTATTTATTTATCTAATTTTTGGTAAAAATAAACATGCTATACTAGAACACACGTGGATATTTAAAAGAAATCTAAATAATAAGTAATTTTATTGCATACTTTTCAGTTCATATAATTGTTGCTTCAACATTATAAGCTAATATAAGTATTAAATTGCCTATCATTAATTTATTTAGGAATGCTTTTAAACATGTTTTTCTTAACAATTTTCATCAATTCACTCGCAACTTCATCACATGATATATCAAAACCATTTAGAAGACATTCTATTTGTTCACTATAGCAAAGATATGTACTCAAATAGTCAAAACTTATCATGTGATGAGCAATTTGATAATTCATCCGCAGATAGAATTAATATTGATTACACAAGCAGGCACAGTACATGAATATGCTTGAATAATTTTATTATTTTACACCACTAAAGAAAAAAATGCTGAATTGATTTTATTTTGATCATAGCAGAAAGATGTCACATGCTGAGTTAAGATGTCAAATACACATTAAATCAGAGCAAAAACGACATGCAGAAATCAAGAATGCTTTTGAGGAACTCAGTAAACAGCTTCTAATAATTTATACCAATCATAAGATGAGCAAAGTTATTTTACTTCAGAAAGGTGATCACAGTTTTTATTTATTAGTATGATCTAACAATGAAACATTTGCGGAACTCACCACAAATCATTGTTAATTTTTGTAAAGCTGTTTTGTATCTTAAGAATTCTTCAAAAAAAGAGAATATGCTTCTTGATGAAATCAATCGTCTGAATCAAAATTGTGTCTATTTGAGAGCAGAATTGGAAAAGGAGAAAAGGTAAAATATTAGCTGTCATTAATATTTACCTTTTATTTATTTGTTTATTTTATTTTAATTTCTAATAGGATGAGCGCATTGTGCAATTGGATAATGAATACTTCACAGAATAACCATCCTTGTTGTTTTTGTGAACTTGTTCATTCCTACAACAATTATTTTTAGCGAAAGCTCTTTACTAAAATACTGCATTGACTTTTTCATTTTAATGAAGTTAATTGATTTAAAATGCAAGTACAGACGCATTTGAATAATTTCATTATTATTGAATTGTCGAAAATTATTTATGTGGGCAATCAAATTAAAGTTGATACATATTAGCACATAATTTAACTAAGAAGCTATAATTATAGATAATTTAATTATAGATGATATTTTTATCATAAATAAAAAATTTTTTATAGAAAAATCTACAACGAAGAAAGCAGTGTTAATATTGTTACTTAAAATAAATAATACATGATTTCACAGACCTATAGGTCTGTGAGATCTTAAATATAATTTAAGAAAGGTCTAATAAAATAATAGTATTTTTCTCAACTATGTTATTACTTATTTTATCTAGATATACATGACTAATTTTTGCTTGTTCATAATAACATTGTATAATGGAAATCAAACAACCAAGAAGAATGTTCTTTGCTAAAACTTAGTCCACAAAAAGCTTTCAATTCTTGGATATTTTACGCTGATCTGGTAATTTCGAATACATAATGACTCGACAAAATTCATAAGAAAAACTCACCTATATTCTATTTCTGAAAAAAAAAAAGGTTCATTATTGTTAAAAAAAAAAAAAGCTCATTCATGCAAAATAACGTACAAAAAAGATCATTAATATTTCGATACGTAATTAATTTGGTGCTAAATACTGTTTAAAAAAAAATCACAACTAGTTGCTTTCATCTTTATTCAAGTTTTGGTTGTTTGTATTCGTATAAACAACTCAGATAATAATATTTATTCTCTTTTTTTAACACGTGATATTATATTGTATTATTACTTAAATTTAATGTATTATTGTTTAATATAAATTGCATTATACTAATCGCTTCGAAATCGATTAAACTATTCTAAAACAAGTAGTTAATTTATTCGTAAACTAGATTTAATTTATCAAAGTAATAAGAGTTTATATAGTCCTTTGTCAGAATGGTATTAATCCCAAATTATAAATAGAGACTCAGTTCGATTTTGTAGAATCAGAAATTTCGAATCACAAATAAATTTATTAAATGATTTCTTTCCCTACAGAATGTCTTTTAAAAATATTTGCATTCCTTCAAAAGATCAAGGAAGCCTGTTTTCATGTCTTTTTATAAATTGACATTGGTGTAGAATTACTGTGCCAATATTGTGGGAGGAGCCTAGTTTTAAAAATGGAAAACTTATCAGAAAATTTCTTTTAGAATTAAATGCAAATGAACAAAAGATATTTCTTTCAGGATTAAATACAAATGAACAAAAGATAGTTTTTTCAGCATTAAATGCAAATGAACAAAAGCTATTTCTTTCAGTAATAAATGAAAGTAAACGAAAGCTATTTCTTTCAGAATTAAATGCAAAATTTAAAATTACAATTCCAAGTAATGCAAAGCCATTATCTGAATACTTAACTTATATTAAAAAAGTTTCTGCTTTTGATCTAGATGATGGAGTCAAGGATTGGCTTAAAAATGTGAAATTTAATAATTCTGTTGTAAGTTCTTTGATATTAATGTTTCTACAAAAATGTAAAAATCTTAAAGAATTGGATTTAAGTGGATTTATGTTACTTGCTGATAAGAGCAAAAAAAGGTTTTAGAAGTTCTTTTTGAAAACAACCCTTTGACTTCTTTAAATATTAATGTTCTTGATTCTAAAAATTGTAAAAGATTTATAAATTCTCTTCACACAACTATTTCTTTGAATTCTTTAATTCTTTTAACTAATCGACTTGATTTTAAGAGTGTGAAGGTATTAGCAAGTGCTCTCTGCAAGAATACAGCTTTAAAATCTTTGGATCTTCGAAATAATCAACTTAATCTTAATGGAATAAAAGAGATTGCATTTGCACTTTGCAAAAATAACTCCTTAACTTCTTTGGATCTTTCATCAAATAAACTTGGTTCTGAAGGTGGAAGAGCAATATCAAATGCTCTTTACAATAACTGTTTTTTGATTTCTCTAAATCTTAGAAATTGTGAACTTGGTTCTGAAGGAGTAAAAGAGTTAGCAAATTCTCTATGCAAAAACAATATTTTAGCTTCTTTGGATCTATCATCAAATCAAATTGGTTTTGAGGGAATTAATGGATTAGCAAATGCTCTTTGTGAAAACAATGGCTTAACTTATTTGAATCTTTTATATAATCAATTTGGTTCCAAAGAAGTACAAGTATTGGCAGATGTGCTTTACAAAAATAGCACTTTAACTTCATTGGATGTTTTTGATGATTGTTATGATTTTGAAAATATAAGGTTATTAGCAAATGCTCTTACAAAAAATACTTCACAGATAAATTAAAAAAAAACAATCCTGGATTAATATTACATTTTGAAAATAAATTTCATTGAATTCAGAAAAACGAGACAAAAAAAAGGTCAATATAATATAACAATTTATTTTAATTTAGTCATGAATCTATTATAATGAATAAATTATGTTTAATTGAATTTTGACAATATAATTCTAAAATTTAATATTTATAATCATTTATAAAATAGCTGCTCTATTATCTTCAACAACATAGAGCAAGAATTAATATATCTTCTTAGATTGTCACAACCTTAAGGTATTTTTTTTTAACTGACAAACAAAATTGTTTCTTCAATGTGATAACTCAATTATTTTATTCTGCATTACCAAAATCACAAATAGCTTACCCGATAGATCAGATCATTAAATTATCATGTTATCAGACAAAGTTCTCGCAAGCTATGCAATATATTTAGGAATTCATATTGACAATAGAATGTGTGATCACTCGATCGATAGTGATCATGCAAATTCATTCAAAGTTTGGGTTTATGGGTATCAAAAAAGCTTTGGGTCCTTGGTGTGTAAGCAATTTGTTGAATTCTTGATGTTGCCATTGATGAATTCTTTATATGGTTTAGATTT